ATCACTCTGTGTTTCTCTAAAGTTACTTCGGCATTAATTAATAAAATTCAAGCTCATGCTATGTTTACCTATATACTTTCTGCTTACCCTTTTCCATTTATTTATATTTGTAAACGCTAAAGAACTGGCTATAACAATATCACTAAATAATTTTCCAATTTTTTGGTATTTAGAATTAAATAAATGTAATATAAATTTATAATACAATACAATAATGCAAATATTCCAAGTGATTATTGTAATGTGTTGATAGAAATTGCAAATAGTTTAACACAAGAAACTGATATAGAAATTTATACAGATGGGTTGATGAAAAATGTAGTGACTAGTGAAATAATGATAGGTTGTGTGTTTGTAATTAGCACTCCTATAAAGAAAATTTTTAATTGTGAAATTGTAGATAATCCATCCTCTAATAAGGCTGAATTAATGGCAGTGATATTAAGTTTAATGATCTGTCTTAAAGCTGCAAAAGTTAAAATATATAGTGATTCTCAATGGGTAGTTAATACATTTGATGATTTATACTTTTTGACGATTAAAGATATAGAAAGATCAAAAGTTAATTATAGGGTTTTATAGTTATGTTTATTTAAAATAATTAGGATCTATAGTCTTAACGTAAAGATAACCAAAGTTAAAGCGCATGGTGATTGTAATTTTAATAAGAAAGCAGATAAGCTCGCTAAATCTGGTGCTGAGAAAAGTGTATTAATAATAGAGGATAAATTATTATTACACAATGGTACGATTTGTTGGAAAGATATGCCTATAGAACGTAACCCTATTTTGATGATAAAGGGAATCAAGGACGCTCAATTTATAGAAGAATTTCTTATGCTACAACAAAATAAAGTTTATAGACAATCAGACCTATTAAGGCTAATAGATTGAAAAATATCTTTAAAGTTAAATAATATAAATCAATATGATACATTGTTTGAGGACCATTATTTACAATCATTTAGGATTAAAATTTGTTGTAATGAATTACCAACCTGTGCTAATTTAAAAAAACGTAAGCCAGATTTATATGATAAAGAATGGAAATGTAATTTTTGTAAAATAGAAGAAGAAACCTTTGATCATTTTTGGAAATGTAGTAAGATTCAAGATGTTGTAAAAGATATAATTAAACGATTAAAATTTTTTTTAGCTAAAATTATACAGGAGTATTCAAGAGATGATATAGATATATAAGAATTAAAAGGTAAAATTAACGAGCTTGGTATATAGGAAATTAGACGTTTATATGATTTTACATTTTTAATGAAGAATCAAGTTAGTTGTCAATTAATAGAATTATTAAGGTGCTATAAAATAACTGAAGAAAAATTGTTGTATAAAGTGCTGAAGCAAATAACTGGAAGAGTTTTATTAGAATTCAAAATGTTAATTTGGGAACCAAGGAACGAATTACAAATAAAGGAAGAAAAGTGGTACTATATTAGCAGTAAAGATAAAAAAGCTAAGTCACATAGTAAAAAACGCACTGATGTGGGTGTCAAAGATGTTGGCTATAATATGTTAGAAAGTAATTGGAATAAATGGAATGATTTGGCATTCTATCAAGGTGGCAAATTTTTAGGTAGATCATGACAGTCACCTTTGAATTTAAGGTTGCATCATGGTTTTTAACAATAATGTGACCGTTTAGGTGACAGGTTGACTTGTTCTTTATGAAAAGTAATCTTGTTTCATAATGCTTAATTCTTATATGTATTTGTTTATCTTATATTTGTAAGTTTATATATGTAAGTAAGCATAAGACATGATCGTATCTATAATAAAGTTTAAAAAAAAAATAAAAAAAAAAAATAATAATGCAAATATTAAAAAGTAACTGAATGTTAGTATATATCCAAAATTTATGCAACCAAAGTCATGTGAATAGTAGATCAAAATCTACCAAAATTTAGCTAAAATTTTGATAAGTGGCAATCTAAATGGTAACACTTAATAAAAACTTTAAGTTAGAAGATTCGTCTAACTTTGGCCAGATTTCAGCCATAATTCTAGCCAAATTTACCTATATAAAATCTGATTAAATTAGACTATTTTAACTAGTGATAACATCATCAAAAAAAGGTAGCGAAGAAGTTATTGAAAAAAGAATATTACTAAAATACTGATTAATAAGGATTAAAGTAAAAAATGATTAATAAATATATTTTGTATGTATATAGGACTCGCCTACTATTAAGATAGGTCACCTGTGGCCTAAGGTAAGGTTTACATATAAAACTCTTTAAAGATCCTACTATAAAAGGAAATTTTATGTTACATTGTTATGATTAAGGTTGCTTGTCTAAACCTCTTCAAAATCCTACGATTAGTTTTGTCAAAATTTTACTATAGATTTATTATAGTTTCGGCAGAGTTTCGGCAGTTTCGGCATTTATAATAAGTTTCGGCAGTTTCGCCTTTCTCCAAAGTTTTGCCAGTTTTTTAATATAACTTTAATATAGTTTCGGTAAAATTTCACTTTTCGGCGAAATGCCATCTTGCCTAAACCCCTAGGTTTCGGCAAGCAACCTTAGTTATGATTTTTTTTCTTTTTAGTTAATTAACCAATAATAAGCAAATCCTAAGATAAGGATTCATATGAAAGTGAAATTTTTACCAGTAACATATCTTAGTAGTAAGCAAAGTTCTATGTACATATAGTATATTAATTTATTATTTATCTTATAATAGTTTAATTGCTTTTATATAATATGTAGCTTATATATATTATTTTGTAATGGTTTAATAGTTTAGTATTTATTAAAGTTGCTCTGATATCAAAGATAATAAATAGCAAATAAGATTTTTTGCTTTTATTAAAAATATGTATTTATGCCAATTATTCATTTGAAAATATTGATTCCTGACCTTTTTGTATTCCTGTGTTTCTTTTAGCATTTTTCTATACTTTTCACAAAGTAATGTCCTGAAAAGTAATTTTTGATTTTTCTTCTTCAAATGAAAAATGTACTTTAATTCCTTAATTTCATCAATCTACGACTAACAAATAAATGGAAGAGTCACTAATTTGCCTTTAGGGCTATAAGACATTACAATTTCCTGAAACCTGCCATAAAATATTTACAACTTATTAGATTAAAGTTTAAGTTTGTTATTCTAGACCTGTTATCAGTTATTTTTATAATAAAATACTGGCTAGTTTTATAATAAAAATTACGTGTAAAAGTTTATACACAGTATAAAAAACTTTTATAGTATTTTTTTCAGAATTAATTTTTTCTAAAGTTTTTCGTATATCATAGTAAAATATAAAAGCATAGTATGGCTAAAGACTTGACCTCTTCCCAAACTTATCAACTTTAAGTTGGCAAAAATCATGATGAGTTTGCTAATAAAATTAAAAATTATGCACATAATCTTAATTTTATTATTAAATTTGAAAAGTTTGAATATGTAAATACTACCAAAAATAAAAATACCAAAAAATAAAAGAATATAACAAAAAAACTTTGAAAAAGAACATTATTGTACTTTAGAACCAATTATTTTATACCAAAGAAATATATTTTAGATAATGAAAACTCAAATATCAAAAAATGAATTGAAATCTTAATATTATAAGTTCTTTTCTTTTGAATAGTTCCAATAGTTTATGATATATTATTAATATAAATATTACTTACAATTATCAAATGGTTGATAAGTACCATAAATTTTTTATGTTTAATGAACAAAATATTCTTGATGATGTTAAGCAATGAATTGCATTATTATATCATGCTAGTGTCATGCTGGTATAGATGTTCCAACTATATGTGCAATTTTAAAAGAAGAGTTTGATAATTGTGTTACATAGGTATACAATATATTTATAACTTTATCTATCAGTTAGAAGTTCTGGTTCAGAAAAGAAAGAATTTGACGCTAAAGAGTTTATAATAGTATTAAAGCAAATTAAATATGATAATAATGAATTTTTTTATTATATAGATGTTAATAAAAATACACAAAGATTAAAGTATATAATTTGGATATTTTCTAAACAATGTATTAATTATAGTAGGTTTAATGATATAGTGGTATTTGACAATACTTATAAGATAAATCACTTTTAAATGCATGCCATTTGATATTTTTACAGTAATAAATAATTATAGGCATAGTATATATATTATTACTAAAATTTTTGCTTAAAAAAGAATTATTTAAAATTATTGTTAAGGTTACTTATGGAAATAATTAAAGATCAAACAAGTCATATGATGTAATATGCAGAAATCCCATGATATTTTTAATTTGCATAAGGGAATTAGTTGCAGATCTGTATCACTGTGTGAGTATATATTTATATCAATTTTTTTTTTCTTTTTTTGATAAATCATCACTACTAATAAAGAAAGTGATATGACCAAAAGCCATGAAATACACATTAAACTGGGTAGTTTTTGGAAATAATCCTTATAAAGATAATTTCTCAGTTAATATAGGTGTTGATACGAATATTAATCTTCTCAAAAAAGCTATTAGAGAAGATATTACTGCTCCTGATAGTATAAAAGCAAAGGATCTTAAATTATTTAAAGTCGATCTTCCCCTCAGAGGTAACAAGGATGAAAATGTCATTAATATTTGTACCAATAATATAGGTGATGCTGGTGTGGAAATGTCAGAAGGATTACAAAAAGTTAGCGATTATTTTTTGTTCAGCCAAATAAAGATAATTTACACATTATCATACGACTTTCTACTGGTAAGTTATACTATATAATTATATAATACCAAATACTTACTTAATCTTGTGCTTTTCTTTTCTGCTTCTTATTATCAAACCCGTCCAAAAAACACATTCGCATTATTGTAGAGCAAACTATTACTAATGGTAAGTGAGTCATAATAAATTTGATCAATACAACTTGAATTTATTTTTTTTGTTATCTGTTGTTTTACATTTATTTCTATCAGAACCTCCTAGAAAGCGTGCAAAAATTGAAGAAACAGATTATGAGAATATAGAAGAAGTTGATGAAATTCTTTTAAAGCATTTCTGGCAGGCTTTAAAAAATACAAATCATGATGAATTGTCATCACTTTTTATGGTGTCTGAAGATGTAAATTTTTTTGGGAAACCAAGTATACCTTTAAAGCTATTTGTTCGCAGATGTTATAATGATCTGCTTAACATTGTTGATAATGACAAAATAAGGAATCTGCGTCTTACTGGTAATTCTGGCATTGGAAAAACTTTTTTTGGTTACTATTTAATTTATCATCTTGTGAAAAATGGTAAAACAGTTATATATGATATCCATACTATGAAAACATTTGTTATTTTATTTGGTCAAACAATAGAAGAAGTTTCTTATCTTCATATAATAAAGAATGCTAGAAAAATTAAAACAAGCCTGTCAAATCGGGACACCTGGTATATTGTAGATGGAAAATCGCCAGACGATTCTGAAGCTAAGACGATTTTAATATGTTCATCACTTAAAAGTCATTATAAAGTTTTTGATAATCGTATACCAGAAATACGGTATATGCCAGTGTGGTCCTGGAATGAAATCAATAAATGTAGAACTGATATTTTTACACATCTTAATGAAGATAAAGTTCGAGAATTATATATTAAGTGGGGAGGGATTCCTAGATATATTTTGGAGGGTATTCATGCAAAAGGTATTCAAAAACAGCTTGATGAAGCAATAAATACATGCAATGAAAGCATATTTAAATATATTGAAGGAGACATAGCTAAAGATGATATTAGTCACAAACTTATCCATATCTGGACGAATTTTCCTGAGGGAAGTAATGATAATCTTAAACCTCTTACTGGTCCATTATTCAAATTATTATTATCAGGTCAACCTCCTGCTGATCTATTACTTAATCAATCTTCTACTAATCTATTATCTAATCAACCTTCTATTGATCTATTATTTGATCAATCTTATCAATCTTCTACTGATCTATTACTCAATCAACCTCTTACTGATTTATCACTTGATCAATCTCAAATTCAAGTTGAATGCATTATTGAAGAGGAATATTATACAGAGACAATTGTAAAATTTGCATCAAATTATATAGGTCAACAGGTGATTCTTAAATTAAAGAAAATTGTAATAGATAAATGTCATAGAGATGTGAATGCAGTAATAAATGGGAGTAAAAGTAATCCAGTCACTGATTGTGTTTTTGAACAGATTGCTCACAAAATCTTACAAAATGGAGGAACTTTCAAACGTCGTTCTTTAGATACAAATGAAGAAGATTCAATTGTTTTTCTAAAACATGATTTAGTTTTATTAACTCAAATTGATGAGATCCAAAATGAAGCTTACTCTATACTGCTTGATAAATCTTTTCCATTAGTAGATGCGATTATTGCTCCTAATTGTCTTTTACAAATGACTATTGCAAAGGATCATAATATTAAAATTAGTGGGTTGAAAAGAGTTCAAAGTAAATTAGAAACAGAAAGTAATATATATTTTTATTTTGTAGTACCAACAAAATTATATAGTAGTTATAAAAAGCAGAAATATTCTACTACTGGTGACAAAAATGCTCTAAATATGGAACCTTGGATTGGAAAACATCTTAAGCAATATGTTTTGGAAATTGATTTGGCCTGCCTTGAATATAAAATGTAATTGCAAAGACATGTGTGAAAATAATATCTATGGATGTAAATGTAAAAATTCACTATGCGGAGTAGGATGCCATCTTAAGAATAAAAATGTAAGAATTATTAATTACTAATTAATCATAAGCTTTTAAGATTTTGTGTATTATCTATTTTTTATTTTTATCATTTTATAAAATGTATATGATAAAAATAAAGCATATTTTCAAAGTGTATAGCTAGTTATACTATAATCTATATGATAAAATAATTTCTTTTTTTTTTGTAAATAAAATTCTTTTCACTAATATAATAATATTTATGTTATACCAGATGATGTTGATTTTGCTATTGCTATATTGTTAGATTAAATGAATAAATAGTATTTACGTTAAGGTTGCTTGCCTAAACTTCTCCAAAATTCTACGATTAGTTTCTGCAAGATTTTACTATAGTTTTATTATAGTTTCAGTAGGGTTTTAGCAGTTTCAGCATTTATAATAAGTTTCATTAGGTTTCGCTTTTTTCCAGAATTTTGCCAACTTTTTAATAAAACTTTTATATAGTTTCGGCAAAGTTTCGCTATTTTGGCATTTCGCCAACTTGCCAAAAGCCCAAAACCCCCTAGTTTCTCCAGCAACCTTAACTTACACTACATATATTTTGTGTAACTCTTAATAATAAAGAGTTAGCTACAGCCATTTTTGATTTTTTATTTGTAAAGTAGTATGACATTAATGTCACGGCTCTCAGAGTTAAAATTATAAAGTTGCTGGTTTCTCATTTTACTACATAATATATAATTCTGTTTTAAAATTTTGCCAGGTTTTATTGGACATTAATAATGTTATACTTTTCCCAATAAGATTTCGAATAAAAATCCACATAACTAAATTAACTAATCATCTTGAACATGTGCATTTTATTTGTAATTATTTTTCTGAATTCCATTAGATTAAAGGCTATCTAGTTAAAAAAAAAAAATCTGAAATCTGGTTGGCTAATCATCTTGTGATTTATAGAAACTCGCCAGTTCCTGAAACTTTTCTAGAACTATCAAGGAACTGGCAGAGATTTAGGAGATCAAATGTGGTATATTATACATCATATTACAATCCAATTTAACTAAAGACACTGCATATACATGTAAATATAAAATTAGCTTAGCACTCTATATAAATCCTGGTATGCTTGTAATCAAATAAAAATAAATCCAATATTTTATTATAATATAGTTGTTACAAACTATTATAAATCACTATAAATTGATAAAAAACAGTGAAATTGCTATAAATCTCTTAACTAATAAATCTACTATATAAATTTGAATGGTGATATTGTTTAGTATAGGTTGATAAAGAATTAATATAACATACTGAAATTGCTAAAATTGATAAAATACTTTAAAATCATTATAATCTGTTATAATCTACTAAAATACTATTATGAATTTAGATAGTAAAGCCTAACTATTTTAAGTTTCTTTTACTTAGACTTAGTGATGTAAACTTTAAAGTATATTGAAGAATATTAGAAGTATTATATCTTTTAGGTAAGTGATATGATTATGAAATACCAGAAATGTGATGCATTCGTATTCATAATCCATTTAGAAAAATACTAAAAGAAAATCCAATATTTAAAGCTCTGCATGAGCTGAGTTGGCTCACAAGTTGGCTCAAGCTTTTCAATCTAAGCTGAGCTGAGTCACGATTAAATTGGCTTAGTAGCTCGCAAACTAGCTTGAAAAGAACTCAAGCTGGTAATAGGCTTGGCTCAATAAACTCAAGCCAGTAATAGGCTCAATTCAAAAAGCTTGAGCTGGCTTGAGTTATTCATCAGGAAATTTTATAGCGCGAAAAATTGCGTAAGTTTACGATTTTGTAAGTTTACGAAAGTTTATGGCATAATATTTTGAAAAATTTCAAAATATTACGTAAGTTTACAATTTCGTAAGATTTATGTGATATTACGGTTAAAATATTACATAAGTTTTCAATATCATAAGATTTACGCAATATTACGGTCAAAATATTCTGCAAATTTACGAAACTGTAAACCTACGTAATATTACGGTTAAAATATTTCGAAAATTTACGAAACTGTAAACCTGTGTAATATTACGGTTGAAATATTTCGAAAATTTACGAAACTGTAAACCTGCGTAATATTACGGTTGAAATATTTCGAAAATTTACGAAACTGTAAACCTGCGTAATATTACGGTTAAAATATTT